TCCGGGGATCCACAGGTACGGACAGTCTCTGCCAGCCTAATTTGATCTACACTGAGCAGGTTTATAAGTTCCCCCTTGCAACGTGAGTCACAGAGCTCACAGCACAAGCAAAAGCAGTTGTCGAAGCTAAAAACCCTTAGGGAAAAAAATCTCCAATTGAAGTCCCAGTAACCCCACCATAACTGATTCGGAGCACTCCAGCAGCGTGACCCTTAATCCCAGGACAGGGACGTGGGGCCCACAGCACTCGGCATCTTCAGCAGCAGTACAGTGGCTGTGTCACGACCCTCTGCATTGGATTGAACAGAGCGGCAGGGCAGGTGTGCCCAGCCACGGTGGGCTGGGCTGCCTCATTTATTGGCCACTAGAAGCTCTCTGACTTTTTGTGCTCTGTGTCTGGCTTCTGGATTTTCTCTCTGTGTAATCTGACCTCTCAATTGACTAATTTTTCTCAGTTTTTAAACAAATAACAGAGCAGATTTTAAAACAGGATTTGTCGTGACACCTGCCAGTTCCAGTCGCAACTCCGAAACATCACCATCTGGTGGCTGACAGGTAAAATGGCAGGTTTCTTTTTTAATGGGACTCTAGCCACTTTGGTAGAAATCACAAGTGGCCTATATGCCTATGGAGGTATCTCAATTTACTTGTTATGAGATTTTGGTTTTCTTCTTAATGTTATATCAGTATGGAAGTATGTGGCATTAATTGATAGGCTTAATACCATGATAGGCAAAATTGACTCCTTATCTAAGGGTACTAGGAACTTACCTGAAAGGGTCTAAGCTGTTGAATTTGACTTTCAGAAGTTATCAGAGTTTTGATAATGTAACAGACAGAATATACCTCCAGGATGGCAACTTACATGACATACAGTTCAAAGGCGAGATATTCTCTTTAAAAGGAAACATTAAGACCTTGAAATCACAGGTAAGGAATGGGGACCAAAAAACTGATACCTTAGTGGAATCACTAGAAACACATGCATGTCAGAAGATTCAGGATTTCAGAGAGACAATGATAAAAAGATTTGCAATGATTGAAGAAATTATTGAAGCTGGTGAACAGAGTAAGAAGGCACAAGGACAGGATACAATGCAACCACCAGCTGTTAGAACTGGGTTACTAAGGGTTTTAGCGACATACCCTGTCATTTATTCTGACAAAGCATCAACTTTTAAAGGCTCAAAGGGAGCCAAAGATGCTAGATGGACGCCAGTAGGATTGAATGACCTAAGAAAATTAAGCAAGCCGTCATTAATTACAGCTTGCACTCCACATTTGTTAAGGAAATGACAAGGACTTGGGCTTCTAATGTCAGAGCTATCCCCCATGATTTCTCACAGTTAGCTTCAGCGGTCCTCGAAGATGGACCTTCCTTGATTTTTGGAGTTTATTTCAGGGAAGAATCCAAACATATGGAACAGCAAGGAAGAGCAAAAGGTGTGGAGGTTTCAAAGGATCAAATTCTTGGTGTAGGAGCTTACACTGATCCACAGGTCCAAGCTCTTTATGATGATGAATTATTGTCCCTATGCCACAAGGCAGCCTTAAATGCCTGGGATAGATTACCAGAACCAGGAAGAAAGGTAGATTCATATACTAGGGTTAGGCAGGGATAAGGAGAACCCTATACTGACTTTTTGCAAAGATTAATTAAGGCTCTGAACACAGGAGTAACAGACCTAGAAGCTAGATGACTAATTCTTGAATCGCTGGCTTTTGAAAATGCAAACTTAGACTGCAAAAAGATAATTGGGCCTTTAAGGTCTAGATCAGCACCTATGAATGAATGGATCCAGCATACCATGAATTTTCAGACCTTTAATTACGATGACAAATCTTGGGTAGGAGAAGCAATTTCCAAAGCAATGAGGGGACATCAACCTACCAAATGTTTTAACTGTGGTAAATTTGAACATCTAAAAAGGGATTGCAGGCAAGGTATTTCTAGAAATAACACTTCATCTGGGAATGGCAGGAATAAGAAACCTCGGCCTTGAGGTATATGTAGGAGGTATGGTAAAGGACAACATCGGACGAATGAATGAAGATCAACAACAGACAGACAAGGCAACCCGATACCATCAGGAAACTCCCTGAGGGGCCTCTTGCAGGCCCCCAAGCCAAATGTGGCCCAGTCATTCCCAGTAACCATGGAGGACATGTCACACCAGGAAAATAAAAACTCTAGAAGGTTCTGTACAAGATCATAAGGTTCTAAATGATGCAAATTTGGAGGATAAGTCAGAATTCAATTAGGAAATAAGAAGCGTATATTTTGGCAAACTTCTATAAATGATCAGAGACCAAAGCTGAGAGTACATATAAATGGAATTGTGATTGTTGGCTTGATAGACACAGGACCAGATGTGAGTATCATCACTCCAGAATCTTGGCATCCATATTGGCCTCTTTAAGAGGCAGATGTTCAATTACTAGAAATTGGAACCATATCTCGAGTTAAAGCACAAGATGGGTTGACTGTATTGGGCCAGAAGGTCAAAGAGAAAAGCTAAGATCATGTGTAGATGATATTGCAATAAATTTATGTGGCCATGACTTGCTACAACATGGAATACCCAGATTAACATTCCTGCAGCCTCAGGAACTCATAATTCTGGGAAGGATATGATGGAGGAAGGTCATTGGCTAATAAAGAAACTGCCTTGGCCCATTTGATAGGCCAGCCTTTCAACTATGCACAAAGGTCACCAGTCATTCAGGCTGTAGGAGAACATAAAGCAACTAACAAATCTTTAGAGGTACCAACAGCCCTACCTTTAAGATGGCTAACTGAGAAGCCAATATGGGCTAAACAATGGCCTTTAGCTGAAGATAAATTGCAGGCTTTAAAACAATTGGTACAGGAGAAATTAAATGCTCGACATATTAAGGAGTCAACTAGCCCTTGAAATTCTCTTGTGTTTGTTGTAAAAAAGAAATCTGGCAAATGGAGAATGGTGATAGATCTAAGGGTTGTCAACAAGGTAATTCAACCTATGGGTCATCTACAGTCTTGACTCCCTCTGTTACCTGAAGGATGGCCTCTTATAGTTGGACTTGAAGGATCACTTTTTCTCCATACCATTACAAGAAAAGAATAGAGAAAAATTTGCCTATTAAGTGCCTACTTATAATAACTCCCAGCCTACTAGGAGATACCAATGGACTATCCTTCCACAGGGAATGCTCAATAGCCCCAGCCTGTATCAATACTTTGTAACAGTCAGCCATTGGAAATAATATGTAAGCAATTCCCTAAGTCTATAATTTACCATTACATGGACGACATTTTGTTACCTGATTCTAACATAAATACTTTAGTAAGCATGTTTGAGGAAGTAAAGATAATTCTGCCTAAATGGGTATTACAAATTTCTCCTGAAAATATTCAAAGAGAAGATTCTGTTAATTACCTAGGTTACAGAATAGGTTTACAGAAAATTAGGACACAAAAGGCACAAATTAGGAGAGACCGGTTACGGACTCTTAATGATTTTCAGAGATTGTTAGGAGACATTCCCAGTTCATGACCGGCTGTTGGGAAAACACCTGATCTAATGATTCATTTTAACAAAACCTTAGATGGTGACAAAGATTTGAACAGTCCCAGAGAGTTAACAGCTGAAGCAGAAAAGGAACTGACAATGGTTGAGGAAAAACTACAGGAGGCACATGTAGATAGGGTGGATCCAATTCTTAATTGTATTCTATTCATATTGCCTTTCAGAATTTCTCCTACAGGAATTTTAATGCAGAGGGAAGATACTATTTTAGAATGGATCTTTTTAACCACACAAACCAAGTAAAAAATTGAAAACTTATGTAGAAAAGGTCTCTGAATTAATTATAAAAGGTAAACCGAGACTTTGTCAACTAGCAGGTATAGACCCAGCAGAAATTATAGTTGTTATTCCCCAGGAGGCTCCTGTGTGCAGGCACAGAGTACAGTGTCACCCACCGGTCCCGGTAGACCACTTTTCCCAGGAGCACACGCACCCAGCGTCCGACGCAAAGGTCCCTGCGCACACGGGCAGAACATAACGTTTGACTCACGTGCATGGGGGTCCCCTTTAAAAGCCGAAACATCATTTGTTTGTTCTCTTTCTCCTTTCCTCTCTTCACTGTTGGGCACGCTCCACCCTCCCCACAATAAACCTCTGCACATACGTCAGTTGTACCTCGTGTCTCATTTTGACTTCGAAGAACAACAACATTTGGTGTCGAAACTCGAGAGATCTGCTTGTCCCAGATTTCCACCTGAGGGCAGGGCTCTGGCTTTAGGCACCGCCCGGGGTTCTGGACCCTCCCGTGGCACGATCAGGACTGAGGACCCTCTCTACAACAACCCACGTGCTCCATCTGCCTGGGCAAGGCTCCACGAACAACACCGGCTCCTAATCATGAGTTTTCCCCTTCCGGCTAGCTTAACTGCCCCTTTTAACCCGGGAATTGACTGTTGAGCTCCTGGCCACCACGGTGTTCTCTGGGTTGGAAGAAACTTCCTGGTTGGTTGTTCCCTTTGCTAGCATTCACTCCCGGCTTGTATCCTTGGCTAAACCTGTGTCTGGGATGGCTTAACCTTAGCCAGCCCCCTCAGCCTACCTGCCCCTGGGGGCCCAGGGTCTCCAACTATCTTTTTTTCTCTCTTTTTTCATTCCTTTCCTGTCTTCTCTCCATACAGCTGCTACGGTGTGGTAGGCCGCTATGGTGCGGCTTGGCCTTCGCTGCATTCCTCCTGCCCGGGGAGCCTTCCCTGTCATCAGCTTGAGGCATTCAGCAAGGCCGCCTAGCACTCCACCTGTTCCCAAGTCCTGAGTGTTCGTGTCATCTGCATCTCGCTTTTTCGGGGAGCTGTCCTCAGGAGGCTTGAGCTGCCACATTTTTTTTTGCAGGGTGTTTTCACAGCCTTAGCTATGGGGAAAAAGCCATCCAAATCTATCCCTCCATTGTCCCTGCTGGGATGCGTATTGGAGGCCCTTTAACCTCATGCTTTAATGCCTTCCATACGGTTATCCACACTCATCCATCTCTGCTCTAAAAAATGTCCCCAATATTCCTTAGAGGCCACCTATCGGCACTTTCAACCCCGATATTTTACCGGAGCTAGCAAATTACTGCCATCATACAGGCAAATGGAAAAATCTCCTCTCTATCTCCGCTTTCTTCTATATGGCCGTTAAGACTGACCCCTCTGTTTTTACTCACTGTTCATCTGCTCACATGTTTTTAGCTATGATATCTGCTACTCTGGAACCCTCCGCTCCTGCTATGGACCCAGCCGACAAACCTCCACCTTTCTGGGCTCGGAGATCTACCTCCACTGGAGATCTACCTCCTCCCACTCTACTCGGTCAGGCACAACCTCACATAAACCTTCCAGTCCCAGGTCTCCGGAAGTCCAATGTAAATCTTCCTCCAGGTCCAGACATAAGAAAACCTCGCCTAACCTTTCTCCTAGGTCTCTAGAAGTTCCACGAAAATCTTCTTCCAGGTACAGACATAATGAAACCTTGCCTAACCTTTCACTTTCCAGCTCCCCGGAGACCCCACCCAAATCCTATTCCAGATCTAAAATAGCCTCGCGGAAACACAATTCTCCCTCTTCCCCCACCAGGTCTCTATCTGGCTCCTCTGGCTCCACTTCCTCCCATACCCCCTCTTCTCTTCACAGGTCACGCAGGTCACCAGAAGCCTCTTCGGACTCATCCTCCCCATCTCCCTTCTGCCCTACTCTGCCTCCTCAGTCTTCCAAAGCCCTACAAGGTTCCCCTTCCTCTTTCGCCAACCGTCTTGCACTGGCATCTTCCTTTACACCTCAGCTCATGCATTCACATGACGCCACGGAGCCTAATCCTAGCCACTGAGGGAGGTGGCTGGCGTAGACGGATTGGTTAGGATTCATGTTCCAATTTTCCCTGTCGAAACTTTCCCATATAGCCAAATTACTTGGGTCCTATACATCTAACTCTACCACTTTTATAGAAGAATTTCAATATATTACCCAATCCTTCAACCTTACTTTACACGACATTTTTAAGATCCTGTCTAATAACTTACTCCCCGAGGAGCACAGGCGGGTCTGGGAGCAGGCCAGACAACACGCGGATGAAGTTCACCAAACCCTACCCTCCCACCCTCCAGGGGCAGAGGTGGTCCCAGACCAAGAACCACACTGGGACTATAACAGTCTGGGTGAGATCTTGGCCAGGGACCGATTTTTAACTTGTCTCCTGACAGGCCTCCGTAAAGTTGACCTCAAGCCAGTAAATTATTCTGAACTTTCAGAGATTATCCAGAATATGAAGGAAAATCCTTCTGCATTTTTGGAACGCCTTACAAAAGCCCTGTTGCAGTTCACGAACTTGGACCCAGAATCCCCGGAGGGCAGACAGCTACTAATGACTCACTTTTTTAATCAGTGTTATTCAGACATCAAGGCCAAGCTCAGGTATTTGGAGAAGGGCGCTTTAACTCCACAGGCAGAAGTCCTGGAGACAGCTTTCAAAGTGTATCATGCACGACACGACAAAGCTCGCAATCACTGCCACGTGATAGCCATGGCTGCTCAACCGACCGAGGTGACAGGCTACCCATCCCATCCCATTCATGCTGCTTCCCTGCCTCTTGGAGTGCGTGAACCACCGGGTCCGTGCTTCAAGTGTGATAAGACGGGTCACTGGGCCCGAGGATGCCCTAATCGCCATCAGAGTCCTAGGGGACCTTGTCCAAGGTGTCAGAGGGAAGGCCACTGGTCTGTAGATTGTCTTCGTGTGCTTTGTGGCATGGAGACATCAGACCCTAAAAATTCCCAAGTTGACCTATAGGGCTTGGCCCTGGATGACTGAAGGTGCCCGGGGTCTTCCCTCAACGACCAGAGTGCCAGTGTCATATGCAATCAGGAGCCACAGGTACTTCTCACTGTGTCAGGACAGCTCACCTCGTTTTCTTGGATACCGGAGCAATGTATTCCATTCTGAAGGAATTCTGGGGGCCAACCTCCCCTTCGAGGTCCCCTATTTTTGGGGTAGCCTTATTTACCTCAACAGACTCCACCACTCAGTTGTGTGTTTAGATGTATTTTTCTCACTCAATCATTTCTAGTTATGGCAACTTGTCCAGTACCCCTTATGGCGAGGGACCTTTTAACTAAGGTTGGATCCTCCATTTCTTTCACTCCCCTTATTCGCTTTATTCCAGATTTGTCAATGACGCAGCTTCTTCTCCTGGCCCCCCAACCTTCTGACACTAACATGTCTTTTCCTCTTCCAGCCTCCCAAGTGGATCCTCTGGTGTGGGACACCCAAAACATGCTGTCGCTAAACACCATGCCCCCATTGTTATTCAGTTACAAAACCCCAACCAATATATTACTCAAGCTCAGTACCCCCTCTCTTCCCAGAACCTCAGAGGACTTAAACCTATTATCTCTGACCTTTTGAGGAAAAGGCTGCTCCGCACCAACTCCTCCCCCTTTAATAACCTTATATTGGCTGTTCAAAAATCTAACGGGACTTATCGTTTGGTTCAGGACCTCCGGCTCATGAACTCTGCTGTTGTTCCTCTTTGTAGCGCGCGCCATGGCGCCGTCATGTCATGGGTGTGTTGGCATGGAGCCAGGGTGCCATTTGTTGTTCCGTGTTAAACTTGATATACAACTTGTGCACATGTACACATGCTCCCCCTAGCGCGGGGAGTCTTTCGATCTGGCCATTTGATCTGGCCAATCATAATTTAGCAGGATCACTCCATTTTGGCCTGAGCCATTGGGCTGATGACACATCAGGGCTTAGTCTGGCACCGTATTTATTCTTCTGCTTCCACGGGGACGGGGTCTTCTTGCCTCTCTCAATTCTCAAGTATAAGCGCTCCAATAAAGTGTGTTATGAGAAGAATCCTGTTGTGGTCTTGGAGAGATTAGGGATACAAGGGGCATACCTAAATATAATAAAAGCTATTTACAGCAAGCCGACAGCTAACATCAAATTACACGGAGAAAAACTCAATCCATTCCACTAAAATCAGGAACACGACAAGGTTATCTACTCTCTCAGTACCTCTTCAATATAGTGCTTGAAGTTCTAGCAATAGCAATAAGACAACATAAGGGGATCAAGGGGATTAGAATTGGAAAGGAAGAAGTTAAACTTTCGTTATTTGCAGATGATATGACAGTGTACATAAGCTACCCCAAAAACTCCACCAAAGAACTCTTACAGCTGATAAACACCTTTAGTAATGTGGCCAGATAAAAGATCAACTCCAAAAAATCAGTCGCCCTCCTATACACAAAGGATATGGAAGCAGAGAGGGAAATCAGAGAAGC